AAATTTTGCAGATGCCGACTTTTAGGGACAGATGCAAATTTAGAAGTAATTGCTATAATTTAAACAGAAATGCAATAAAGCTCACCATAGTGGAGAGACTGTTAAAAGGAGACCTATGTACCTGGGCTCATTCTGCTGTCCAGTCTGTTGATGGATAACTTCAACGTTCTCCTTTCTAATGAAACTGAATTTGCACTGGACAGCCCTTCAAAGAGAGGAATGAACGTGTGGGAAAATGATATCTGGGATACAGCAATGTCTGAGCATCTCACTAGACACAGGTGGGTAATTAAGGGCATAATGAAAAGAGGCGCCTTCCAAGAAATGTGGACCCCTTTCTTTAACCATGTTAATGTCTAAAATCAAGACTCAGGACTCAGCTACACAGGTCAATTCTAACATTAAACGTGTGCTGTAAAAATGTGACACCAGATGGTGCTATAGAGCAGCAACCAGAAGTCAATGGTAAATTGCACTGGGAGCTATCAATACATTTTATAGCGTTTTTCATATCTGTGTAGATCCAGCCCTTGTTATACCCATCACTCAATATTTTCAATGGACAGGTTACGTCAAGTAGTATGTTTGAACATTGAATGTGTAAGCTTATGTCTATAACAGATGGCTAGAACAAACACCATTAGCTGTGCTGCTGGATGAGTGTTTAATAGCTTTTGCATGTGTTTAAAAACCAACAAAAAATGTTTAAAAGGAGAGAAAGAGAGCGGACTGTCCATGTGCCCTAGCAACTCCCATGCTATATCAGTGCTCATGGCCTCTTTTCCTCAAGGCATTCCCTTGTGGTCTTCTTTACTCTGGTCACCAAGCTGAGCTCATGGGAAGTCACTGGATGTGTAGCAAAGGAGGAAATATAACCTGCCAATGCAGCAGTAAGGGATCACACAGACATTCTTAAGTTTCTAGAGAGCCTTTGCACGAGTGCCAAAAGTGTGGGAATTGTGAGGAGAATAGGGGTCTCCAAATAACTCTCAGCACCCTAAAGAAACTACAGCTCCCATAATTCTCTGGGGGAAGCTGTGAATGTGAAAGTGGTGCGATACTGCTTGAAATGTATAACACAGATTTGGCTCTAGTCCTACTAGGAATGGCTACGATTAGCTTGGAGAAGAGAAGGTCAAGGGGCTGCTTTCAAATAGCTGAAAAGCTGCCATGCTGACGATGGAGCAGACTTATTTTCTGTTGCTCTGGAGGGGCAGGACTAGGACCAGTGGGTGGAAATGGAAAGGAAACAGATTTTGGAGAAATGTCCTAATGGCAAGAACCTTTCCACTGCCTTGGTAGGTGATAGTTTCTCTGTTGCTGCTGTTGTTTAAGCAGGAGCTACACAGCCATTTGCCAAGGACGCTGCAGTTGCAAGATGCCTGTACATGTTAGACTACATGACCTGCAAGATCCCTGCCAACTCTTAACATCCTATGCAGCCATCTAGTGATGGATTTGCATAGCCAAGCCGTTATGTTTGCTGGGGGGAAAGAAAAGAAAAGCCCATATCCTTTTTCTTATCTAATTTTGAGCGTACAAGGAATCAGGGCTGGCCGACTTGGTTCTCCTCCCCCATCTGTGTGTGCTGCATTCTTACAGCGCAGGTTGAATTAGTAAAACCTGAAGCAAGATACACACAGTCATAAGACACCGCTTTGATAGCTCCCCCATGCTTGCTTTTCAAAGTGCTTTCTCAACATTAAGCCTCTTAGCACCCCGCCGAGAAAGATCTACATTATTATCCAAAGCAAAGAGAGGTTAACTGCCTTTCCCCGGGCACAGAGGAGGCAAGATGTAAACACAAACCAAATTATAACCCTTTCACTAGTTTCTCAGTCCTAAACTATAACCAGGAGAGTCTACCTGTCATCAGGCCAGCTTTCAAAAGAGCTAATTATCTCCAATTAGGGTTGCATTTTCCAATAAGTTCAGCCTCACGTTTGTCCTTGTGTGCAGAAGAGTTCTTCTTCACATCCTGTTTTATAGAAGGGGCGAAATGGCTCCTTTTTTTGCTACTACAGGTCTTTGCTTGAAAAGGGAATGGCGGCATTTAACACCGTGCTCTTCTGATCGTTCCATCAGCACAAGCATATCAGCTTACCCGATGGAATGATCCCCCCTCCCCTCTCTCCATGTGCTTTTTCTGGGGGTTCTCCCAACCCTTTAAAAGCCCATTTCATGGGCTGTGGGGGTATACAGGGGAAGGAGAGTGGGGGGGAGCCCACTGTGCGAGCGGAAACCCATGTGCTGGCAGTGTTCAGTGGGTGAATCCCGTCCAATATATTTATAGCTGTATCAGACTTGAATGTTGAATGTATTGGATCTGGATGGAAAATTCCCATACTGGTTTAATGCATTTAGTCCCAGGGTTGGAAGCCTTTTTTCTGTTGAGGGCCACATTCTGTTCAATGTAACCTGCCAGGGACCACATGCTGGCAGTGGGCAAGGTTGAAGCCATTGGTAGGTATGGCTGGAGCAAAAAAGAATGTAATCCCTTCTTTCTTTCTCTCACTCTCTCCCCCACCTCATTCTTTCCCTCTTCCTCCCATTGCCCTTTCTCTCTTTCTCTCTTTCTCCCACTGATCCCCTTTATCTCTCCACTCTTTTCCATGGTTAGCAGCTGGCTGGGGAATAAACAGGTAGCTCTTGCCAGAGATCTGAACTGAAGCTTCCAGTGGTCTTCTTTTCCCTCTCTTCTTTTCTTAAAAAAAAAAATATTTATGCATTTCCCACAAATTTTATACAGACATCATACATTGTCCATCACATATCACTTCCCTTAGGACTTCCTAAGTCCATCTCTCCATGGCATTCTATGCAAACCTTATTTCTGCTGCATATCCTGTTATTCCACCCAATTTTATCTCGTGTGTTTCCTTTGTTTAATATTAACTGCTGCTCATACGGGTTATACCCCCTACTTGCAGGTGAAATGGAGTGTTATATCTTCTGAGATGTTCTCCAAAAGACTTCCATCCTTCTTTTATCTGTGTCTCATCTTTATTTCTTATTTTCATGGTCATAATTGCTAATTCTGTCAATTCTATCAATTTATTCTGCTGTATTTCTTTCATTGGTCTTTCTTTTGCTTTCCATTTTTTGCATAAACTATTCTAGCCACAGCGGTTATGTGTAAGAAGAGGTTGAAAGTCTTCTTTGGGATATCATCGCTTATTATCCCTAGTATGAAGGCATCAGATCTTTTGTGAAATGCAAATTTAAAGATCTTTTTAAAATCCAGATGAATCTTTTCCCAGTACTCTCTAGCATACTTGCACAACTACCACATATGCATCAGAGTTCCATCTACCTCTTGACACTTCCAACATAACTTAGATCCCGTTTTTGTACATTTTTACCAGTTTGTTGAGTGTCAAGGACCACCTGTACATCATCTTATGTACATTTTCCTTGATAAGATAACAGGCTGAGAAATTCATGGTTTCCCCCCATAATTTCCCCAGGCAGATATTTCTAATATCAATTGCCCATTTACGGTAGTCATTGTTGCCTTTACCATCTTGTCTTTGGTTTCCAATTTCACTAACAGTTTATATATTTTAGAGATTCGTTTATCATCATTTCCTATTACAATTTATTTGAATTCTGAGCCAATTCCCCCAAATCCATTTTCTTTATCATTTTAAAATAGCTTGTTCAACTGGAAGTACTGGAACCAATCCGTAGTATAATTTTGTACAGTAGCTCTTCTCTTCCATCACCACCACCATTCACTCTTTCTTCTGTAAACTCTATGAGATCTTTATAAGTAGCCCACCTTTTATTCATGTTTATCCTTTTCACTGATACCACCTCAGCAGGGGATAACCACCTTGGGGTTTTCCTTTCTAAGAGGTCCTTATGTCTCAGCCAAGCGGTGTACAGGCTCCTTCTTGATTTTGGAAACCTTTATGTACCCTGGTTTTGTCATAATACAGATATTATGCATGCCATCCATAACGTAAGTCAAAACCCTCTTTTCCCTCATTCCATTGCTCCATCCATTTTGTCCCTCTCTAAAATCAGCCACCCCATAAGAGGACTTCTCTACACACCTCCTGTCACTGCCATTTATCCTTTCTCACAGAGCTCTGTCCCCCCGCATAAAAGTGTGAAGGTCCATAGGCGTCCTGAGGGCACTCCAGCATTAGTCCAAAGCAGGCGAAACAAAAAGCAGTACTTGCGAAGTATTAGTAAGAGAAGTGGGAGGACCTCTCAAACCGACGCTATACAGTTTTGAACTCATATCCAAGAGCAGGGGTGCCGGCTTGAATAAAATATTATGGGGGCCCAGGTAAGCCCTGCCCCACAAAATCAGTCACATGACACAGTACACACACACCATTTGAATGGGAATGCCCATCAACTTTGTAGGGGCCCGTCCCCCTCAAATATTTTATTTTGGGGGGCAAAAGGAGTTGGCTCCTATGTCCATGAACACTGTGAAGAAGCCACAGATTTTCAGATTCCCCTCGCAATCTAAATCCCATTCAAAGATGTGGGCCGCAATCCTATACTCATTTATCTCACAGCAAGCCCCGTTGAACTTAATGGGACTTCAGTATAGCCTTGAAGTCCCCATCAAAAATGGGAACTGAGTACATATTTGAAAGGCTTGACATTCTCTGAGAGGAAGCGTGGAGGTGGAACAACTTTTTCTGGCCCTGTTGTCGTCTGTCTATATATAGAGTTGTGCCCATGAAACGACTTGGCAAAGGTCGCTGTGCCATACCTCCATATGAAATGCGATGTTTTCCAACTGATATTCCCGTTTCAAGTCAGGCATGTAAGCATGATGTGTCTGTGCTCTGCAGTGGAGCAGGAAACAAGGTGTCTGTCTCTGCTGCAAAGAAACAAAACTAAAGCCCAAACCCTTGGCATACGCTGATTTAGAAGGTGGGGGAGAATGGAGGAAGGGGAGAGAGAGGTGCGTTCTTTTGTGGAACAAACCCAGGCTGAAAAACAACAACACTGGCGTCACCCAAAGTTTGGCTCATGCTAAAAATATAGCACATTTATTAAAAATATATATTTATAAACATCGGTTTGAACAGACACAGATGTCAAGCAACCGAGAGAGAAAAGGAACGTCAGGTAACCTTACTTTGCTCAAGATTTTACCCTTTGGTAGCACAGGCAGCTCAGCGGAGTAGCTGGTTCCCCTCCCCCCTACCTTGTGATTGCACCATATGTTCATTTTAAGTTAAAAACTGGAAAAACAAAGAGCGAGTGAAAGAAAAGCTTGCTAGCTTCGATGTAAATCAAAGAAAGGAGAGAAGAGAAGACGCGGACTAATGGGCATGGAACGTAACTTGGCACAGATATGCTATATATTTGTCACTGTTTATAATAGTGTCCAGTCTTTGGCTGTATTGAAAAGTTTTATCCATAGTGGGGGGGTTTTCCCTTGACCCCCTGTCCAAAGCTGATACTTACAGATTTGCACTCATTTCTCTAGAACAGAGAGAGAAAGAGAGAGAGAGAGAGAGAGAGAGATGCGAGTTTTGCTTGTAACTGTGTGAAAAAAGTCTTGTTCAATTAATTGTGCTTCAACCTCCAACGCCCTCAGGCAGAGCTTTTATGACGTCTTAATATACTACAGAGTCAATTCTCATTAAGCCGTGTGTCAATAGCCGGCCACGTTTGCCATCACCTCTTGTCAGCTGTCTCCCCCGCTTTGCGTCTGCGGCTCACAATGTCGTGTAGATGTACACAAAAATGATCACGACAAGGTTCAGGATTGTCCCGATAATGCCCAGCATTGCCAGGATAGACTCCTCTTTGCTCTCCTTTTCCTGGTTGCCTTTTTCTTCTTCATTTCCACTAGTGATTACCATCTTGGTAGCCAGTTTCTTAATCCTTCTCCTCAGGCTAACCTACAATGTAAAAAAAAGAGAGAGATAAGGAGGGAGCTATGCAGAGAGTCAGAATACTATTGCTCTATTTATGAATTAGTGAATGGGTAAATTCTGTCAGGGCCAGTTCCTCGTTTTTCCAGTCTTCAGTTCTCCACATTTTCACATCAGCTTGCAATTTTTAAAACTAAAACTAAAAAGGCCTCGTGAAAATGCTTTTAGTACCTGAGGGCAATATTTACCACACTTCTGTATGTAGTTTTGCATGATAGGCATGTTTTTGCAAAGCACCGTCCCCAAATCTAACGCATTTCGCCTGTTATTTTCATTAATAAATGCATTTTGTGCTTACTTTACACCCGCATATTCGTTTTTGTACATATTTATAGGCTGGGGACCTGCATTGTAAAATTTTGGAGAAAGGTGAATTCTGAAAGATGGCTGTGTTTTGGTTTGCATATTGTCTTGAAAAGTGCAAATTGGGTAACTTTTAAATGAGAACTGAATTGAATTCCCACCCTCCCATCCCTTTGTGTTGAATTCTGTAGTTGACCTCCTTTGTAATGTTTTATTTTGAAATCTTTGAGATAACATTTTAGTTTTCTGTTAATTTTCTGTTAATTATGTTGCTCTGACTGTATACTCTATATATGACTTTCTTCAGAAATGTTTGATTCTGGATTGTTTTATTGATGTTTTAATATGCTGTAAACCACTTTAGCATTTTTCTTAAAAATAGAGAAATGAAATAAATAATAATAGTAATAACCCCTATAATAATGAGCATCTCTTATACTGATAATAGTCAACCAATCATTCTGCAAGCCAGCTAGATGTTATTTTATTTTATTTACAAGATTTCTTTCCCACCCTTTACCGTAAGGTCCACAGTGGGTTACAACAATATAATTTTAGTTTTTAGTATTGAGAATCTGAAATTGACTGATTTGTCTATTCCTAAAAGGAACAGGAAGGCTAGTTTTCGACTGCATAAGGTTGCAAAAAACCCAAACACCCCCAAACAAAATGTGGTTTTCAGTGTGAGCTGCAGCGATGGGGTTTTTATTAAATTGAAAATGTAGGTGTGAATGTTTCCCTCCGCAGCTGCCCAAAGTAGTTGAGAGTTGTGACTGAGCGATTCCATTTCTTACGTTAGAATGAGTCTAGAGCTGAATCCTTCCCGCTATGACCCAACCGCCTAATATTCATTAAGTCAGGCGTTTACTCTAGTCTCCGTCTTCAGCCTAAAAGGTATCTTGTCTTCAGAAGTAGAGTGGGAGGCAGAAAAAGGTCCTCCTTTCCTTGCACTGAAATCTTAAGCATAATACTGTGCCAGAGCTCAGAAACTGCTCAAGCTAATGAAATTCCTGTTGCAAAATTGCACCTAAACAATGGGATCTCCAAAATGCTGTTCATGGCTGAATGGAGATTCAAACCCCTGGTCTCTCAGGTTCTAGTCTAACACTCTAACGACTACACCTCATTGCTTCTTTTGATTTATTCTTAAACAAATAAATAACCCTTGCCGGGCTTCACTTTGATATGACAAAAACCACCCCAACCCCCTGTTAGGCTGCACACCCGGACCATCTCTGGGCTCTGTAACCTGGAGCCAAAAGGGTTTATTTATTAGGCCTTTCTCAGGTTCTAAGAAGTTCTGATTTCAAGATCTGACACTCTGCAGCAGCACAGGTGAGGGCATAACAGAACAGGCTTGGCCAAATCGCATTTCTGCTAATATAATCAGGGGGAGGAAAACAATCCCAGGAGGTAAACAAGAGTCGCCCGCCTTTTTTCTATATTTTCCCTGCACAGAAAGAAAAGTACAATGACTTTCTTATAAATAATGCAGAATAAAACCAGAGATGGAACTGTTCTTCTCTTTGTTTTTGTTTTTCCTTCTCCTTAATATAAAATGAAACATTTGCAGCACGGACAGCTGCTGCTGGTGGGATATGGTGGTGGGCAGTCCCACTTTCTGAAGCTGCAAGCTCTTTAGGACAGTGAAAACACACACACACACACACACACACACACACACACACACACGACTGATATTTGGTCTCTGAAAGGCAATCGCATTATGCCAAGCTGTATCCACAACTCAGAAGGCTCCATATCCATCATTGAAAGCAAGGCAAGATCTTGACCCACCTGATTTTGCCATGGTTTCATCCCTAAGATCCCCAATTCTAATTCTAATAATAATAATAATAATAATAATAATAATAATAATAATAATCCTTTATTGTCACTATACCACCTGTGTGCAGTGAAATTAAACGAGCCCCCCCCCCATACGCTCAGTCTTGTTCGCGCTCTGTGTGCTTGTCGGAAGTCAATTACACCACTATTTTTTTCCATTCAGCAGCCCAACAGCCCACGGATAAAAACTGTTCTTTAACCTGTTGGTGTGGCTGACTGTACAGTGGTACCTCGGGTTACAGATGCTTCAGGTTACATACGCTTCAGGTTACAGACTCCGCTAACCCAGAAATAGTACCTCGGGTTAAGAACTTTGCTTCAGGATGAGAACAGAAATTGTGCAGCAGTGGAGCGGCAGCGGGAGGCCCATTAGCTAAAGTGGTGCTTCACGTTAAGAACAGTTTCAGGTTAAGAACGGATCTCCAGAACGAATTAAGTTCTTAACCCGAGGTACCACTGTACTTCTGTATCTCCTACCCGAAGGTAGGAGATTAAAGAAGTCATCCCTAAGAATTTTCCTTGCTTTCCTGAGGCAGCGGTCTCCTGCAATGTCATCTAGCGAACTCTGAGGACAGCCCATGATGTCATATGCTGTATTCGCCACCCTCTGTAGGGACTTCCTGTCCGTGGCTGTCAAACCAGCGTACCACACAGTTATACAGTATGAAAGGACACTTTCTATTGTGGCCCAGTAGAAGGAGATCATCAATTTTTGTTTGACATTGTTCTTTCGCAAGACCCTGAGGAAATGGAGTCTCTGTTGGGCCTTCCTAACCACCTGGGTTGTATTGATTTTCCAAGTGAGGTCTTCACTAAGGCAAACTCCCAGGAATTTAAAGGAAGAGACTCTCTCCACACACACACACACACCCTGATATACAATGGGGCTAGTTCCTCTCTCTTCCTCCGAAAGTCCAACACCATCTCCTTTGTCTTGCTGATATTTAGGTGCAAGTTGTTCTCTAGGCGCCATGTGGAGACTTTTTGAACCTCCTCCCTATACGCTGATTCATCTTCACCTGTAATCAGACCCATTATAGTGATATCATCTGCAAACTTAATAATTTCAGTGGATGGATCAGATGAAATGCAGTCATATGTATACAACGAATACCGGTAGGGACTCAGCACACATCCCTGTGGGGTGCCAGTGCTGAGCTTCAGAGAGGTAGTTGTAACAGGCCCAATCCTCACTATTTGTGCGCGATCCCTCAGAAAGTCTTTAATCCAATCACAGATGGTAGGGGAAAGGTCCAGGTCCATCAGCTTTTTAATAAGAATGTCCGGAAGGATGGCATTAAAAGCTGAGCTATAATCAATAAACAGCATTAATTCCCCGGTCTCTCCAGATGACTCGCTGCAAGGTGAAAAGCTGTGGGTATGGCTTCGTCTGTTGACCTATTTCTCCTGTAAGCGAACTGGTGTTCATCAAAATCCAGTGGAAAACATGTCCTAAGGTGTTGAAGAACCAATCTCTCAGCCCCTATCCAGGCTGGTAATGTTTTTACAGAAGTTGGGAGTCACCCCCACTCTCTGCCGAGCGACAGCAAGATTCTAGGGGGTTCCAGGTGCTCACCCAGGGTTTGTGCTGTTTTGGAGAATTGAAGACACAGCGGAGACTGTCGTAGCTTTAAGAAATATGATTTATTCTCCCATTTACACCTTCAGTCTGTGTGGAGGGAGCCCAGATCTTATAGCATGGTCATTTCAAGAGGGGCTTGTTCTCCACAGAAGTGCAGCATGTCTATCGTTATTCTGTAAGTGAGATATGTAGTGGATTCTTAATGAGTACCTGGCTTTAGGTCCTGCACAGCTGAGACATGCTCAAGCCCTTTTGCTAAATTTTCACACTGTGCACTTGCCATTTGGGCACAGGATTCCTTAGCCCCCCAACCACACTTACTGCGTAGCAGTATTTGCAGCAAATAATGTGTAGGGAGTACCTGATCTGAAACGAGCCCACCACAGGAAAGATACATCCTGGTCTCTATGAAAAAAGGAAGAGCAAATAATGGATATTCCAAAGGCTATTAGAAAATAAGAGAGAAGCAGGAAATGTACACTAAAGAGAATGGGGAAACAGCTCTTTAGGATCCCAGGGATTCTTATTGCCTGATTTCCAAAAAACTAACTTGTGTGGCAAGGTGTCCCCCCTGCCCTTTAGACCTCCCCATACCAAAGGCATGACAACTATTAGAGAGCTAGTGTGGTGTAGTGGTTAAGAGCGGTAGACTCCTAATCTGGGGAACTGGGTTCGCGTCTCCGCTCTTCCACATGCAGCTGCTGGGTGACCTTGGGCCAGTCACACTTCTTTGAAGTCTCTCAGCCTCACTCGCCTCACAGAGTGTTTGTTGTGGGGGAGGAAGGGAAAGGAGAATATTAGCCGCTTTGAGACTCCTTCGGGTAGTGATAAAGTGGGATATCAAATCCAACCCCCCCTCCTCCTCCTCTTCTTTTTCTATTATTTTGTGTAAAACCAGGCCACATCTTTATTGACTACAGAAGTAGAACCCACGACATCTGGCTAGCCTGCCAGAAGGACTTACATTGGGTTCAACCAGAAGTGGGGAAGTCCCTGACCTACATCAAGGAATAACTCCCCCACTGGATTGCACCTGTGGAGTGTTGTGGCCCCACACCTGGACATCCAGACAGAAGCATCTCCCCTGGATCCCTTTAATGGGCTATCTCATTTTTAGACGGACCAGGCAGAGACTACAACCTCTCCTCCATCCAACACTATGCCTGCCCAATGCCTAAACCACCACTTGAGCAAATGCTAACTGCCAAACCACCCATATCTGAAGCCAAAACCT